TAAGTGCTTTACAATTATTATCTCTACTGATCCTCACAACAACCCTGGAAAGTAATTGCTGTTACTATTTCCATTTTAAAATTGAGGAAACTGAGGCAGAGAGAGATAAGTGACTTTCTCAAGGTCACACAGCTAGTAAGTGCCTGAAGCCAGATTTTGAACTCTTTGAACTAACTCCAGGCCCAGTACTCTATCCACTGCACCACTTCACTACCTGTTATCTTAAATAAATTTGCTCTAAACACCTAACATTATGAACCTTATTGGTCATGTTACTTATAATTACTAGTCATCTGTTATGAAGAAAGAAATATACTAATGTTATAGGGATACTAATGATGCATTACATTTTACATAACATTTATTAGACATGGTAAGGTGCAGTACTTTAAAAGCAATGTTGGTTTCCTCCATTTGGGTATTCATAGAGTACACCAGCGTAGAATCCAGCCCCATCCTCAGGAAGAATGATCTTCTTGAGACACTGTGTAGTGCCCCCCTACCCCTCCCTCCCAAGTTTCTGCTGAATCTCTCTGAATTTAGCTAGATTGACCGTCGGAGTGATACAATCATTTTTGCTAAGTCAATACTCAAAGCTTTCTTTCCCAGGGCTGGTTCTTGCTCAGCCTTTTGTTCTATTGGGGAAAAGCCTATGGAACGAAGTATCACTTTGTGGAATTGGTGGAAGACTTTAATATCATAAAAAAAATGTAATTTTTAATTATTGGTGATGAATTATTATGTCAACACTAAATGAATATAAATATTTTGTAATTAACTAATGAGATCATTTATTATATAGTTTCATTTATATAAATATGGATATGGATACAAATTCATCATACCCCCATAAATAATAAGTAAACATATCTATAAGAATATAAACATAGCACAGTCAAGTAATTCCACTAAAATAACACAGAACATTAATGTGTTTGTATAAATATATATGTGCATATTTATTCCTCATATCCCCATATAATGATAAGTAATCATCTGTAAAAATATAAATAAGGTAGATACATATAATTCCATTAAGATAATTCAGAGTATTAAAAGTAATTGATGATGGTTATTAAGGTGCTAGGTGCTCTCTGTCCCAAAACTAGATCACTGTAATATAATTGTTCAATAAACAATACTATCTGGGAAATAATGACAAATATCTTGCTGAAGTACATTTATTGAATATAATTCTTCGGGATATATTTGTTTACCACAAATAAAGTAATTCAATCACATAGCTGACTGAGAAATCTAGAGAACATAAAACTCTTCTTCATTTATTGTTTGTTTTATCTGATTCATCAGAGCAAAATATAGCCCTGAAGTCTTTCTTCAAAGTGCCTCTCTCCTCGATAAAAATTTTACGAGATTTCATGATAGATGTGATTATAGAAGTAACATTATTTAACAATCTGCTGACTGTTGACATCCAGGAAGATATTCTACTGGGAGAAATACAAAGAAATCTATTACTGTCATAAGGTCCAAGGAAAAGTTTTTTATCAATGGGTAGGTCCACCAAATACTCATAGTACTAATAATCCTTGAGACATATTACAAAGCCTCCTTTGTTATATATACCAAAACTTTAAAAAAAAATAGTTTAGCCATCAATAAATAAATAAAACAATTAATAAAATAAATTAGATAATAAACCCTGCCACCAGAGGTGTGCTGATAAATGTTTTAACACCCAGTTCTCTGGAAAGATGCACCTTTAAATTTAATCCCCATTGTTAATTATTTCTTTATCACTTAAGTCCAGACAATCAATACAACAATGAATCAAACCCTCAGTTGTAGCATTTGCTGATTTCCAAGATGTAAATGTTTACACTGGCAATTTAACAATAAGCTTTTGCAATAAGTTGTACCTGGCTGCAGCACACTCCTATCTGCCTCTTAACACACACTGGTCTTGTGATCCTGGGCAAGTGACTTAGTTTTAGCAAACACCATTACTTTTGATGAATGGGAGTTTATACAGCAATAAGATGACACATCCCATCTTATTTTAAAAAAAAACAAAAACAACATGCAATTCTATACCGCATAAAGGTTTACAGAGTGCTTTGATTTCCTCACAACTTTTTGAGATAAATAGTGCCCATACTAATAACATCATTTTACAAGTAAGGAAACTGATACTCAAAAAGTTTAAGGGACTTAGTCTAAGGTCACATAGTATCAGACCTAGGGTTTCCATCCAGGTCTCCTGACTTCTGTAGTCCTCAGAGTTCTGAACATGTTTGTGAGAAAAATTGAATATTTCCTACTATTTTGCCTGCAAAATAGCAAAAATGAGAAACAGAGACAGAGAGTCAGAAACCAAGAATAGATATGATAGAGATATAATTATCTACTCAAATAAGTAACAAAAGTATATTTTCTTTAGTTGCGAGAGGGAAAGCTGTATCACGAATATTAGTCAAAGGGTAAAAGTGTAATTCTAAAAGAAAAGCATTCAACTTGAGCTCAGTTTCTTCTGTCAGACCTCTCCCCCACCTACAGCAAAAGCTATCTACAAAATGAAATCCTAAGAGAATTCCTAATTCTTGAATGTCCTTTTGATAGATTTGCTCAAGAAACCTGTTTTGTCACTTTCTGCTGGATGTAGAGATGAGTAAAATGTCGGAGATTAAAGGATGGCACTTATCAGAAATTGCCCATCATGTCCCACTCTTTTCCTCAATGTCACTTACATTGTCAGATTTTAGAGAAATAGTTAAATAACAAACCAGGTACCATCTCCCTCAGTCCTTTATTGCCAGAAAATAACTGATACCTGGTTCTGACAATGTTCCTTATTGGACGTAGTCATTCTGGACACCCACCACTGCCTAGACAGAGTTTCTAGCTTAATAATATCTTCAGAATTCATAAAGTGGATAGTTTTGTGGCATTCTGCTTCTTATTTTCACCTTTAATTATGATTCTCCTTTCCTTTGTGGCTATATCACACAGGGAAGAGACAGTAAAGCGACCCAAGATTTCACACCCTCTACTTTCCTTTCTGTTTTTTCCCAACCTTTTTTTTCCTTCTTTCCTTCTTGTTTCTTTCTCTCTTCTCCTAATATGCTCCTTATCCCCACAATCTGTGATAAATAGAGTTTGAATTAGGGTAAGACAAAAGCTATCTGAATTCTTCTCCCAGTACACACATGTATACTCACATATGCACATGTACGCACACAAACATACACAGCTCTATTTCTTTTTTTAACACATTATTCAAGGCTACTACAGATACTGGCTACAATAAAGATTGGGCTTCCCAGATAAAAATCCTAGCAATCTAGAGTGGGCAAGACAGTGAGCCCCCTGCCTCATTTATAAAAGGAACTGATATATAGCCATCTTTAACCATTTTCAGTAATATTTTTTTTCTTAGAACTGTTTTTTTCTCTCTCTTTAGCCACTTAGAAAATTACCATTCCTTGTGATCTTAGGCTTAGCACTAGTAAATATTTACATTTCCAGTGGCATTATGTTTTTTGGTCTGCTTATTTGGTTTTTAATTTATAAGAACTAGTAATGAAAATCATGGTGTACAATCTTTGCTTTGCCAGCAGATCAGCTATCTAATCCTGCTCTTCTCAAAGGGTGGTTCAGGAACATTTAGGAGATCCATGAGATCAAAGCTGTTTTCATAATAATACTAAGGTTTTTGGATTTCAAATGCAGAAAATATCAGTAGATATAACCCAAATAAACAGAAACTCTTTGCGATCCTCAATAATTTTTTTCATTTCATTTTCCTTTTTTTTCTCAGTTACATGTAAACAAAAATCTTTAACATTCATTTTTTAAAATTTTGATTTCTAAATTCTATCCTTCCTTCTTTCCATACCTACGTCTTTGAGAAGGCAAGCAATTTGATGTAGATTATAGATGTGTAGTCATGCAAAAACATTTCCATATTAGCTATGTTGCAAAAGAAAGGACCAAAAATACAAGAATAATAAAGAAAGTTTAAAAAAAAAAGTATGCTTCACTCTGCATTCATACAACCTCAGTTCTTTATCTGGAGGTGGATAGCATTTTTCATCCCAAGTTATTCATCCTAATATCATTGTATTGCTGAGGACAGCTAGGTCATTGCACTGTTGATGATCATACATTATTGCTGTTACTGTGTACAATATTCTTCTGGTTCTGCTCATTTCATTTTGCATCAGTTCATGCACTTCTGTTAAAAAAAACACTACTAGAATACATAGGAATAAATGGACTTTTATTAGAGTGATAAATATCACATATTTAAAGCCAATAACATTATGCATAATGGAGAGAAACTAGAATCCTTTTCAGTGAAACCAGAGGTAAAATAAAAATGTCCATTGATACCACTTCTATTTAATATAGAACTAGATATGCTGACTGTAATAAGGCAAGAAAAAGAAATTGAGGGAATAAGAACAGATAAAGAAGCAAAATTATCAGTTTTGCAGATGACATGATGGTGTACTTTAGCCCTACATAGAACTAAAAAATTAATTAAAATAATAATTATTTCAGGATATAAAATAAATCCTTTCCAATCATCAACATTTCTATATAACACCAATAAAACGCAGGAAGAAGAAATAGAGAAATTCCATTTAAAATGACTAAAGAAGGGCGAAAAATACTTGGGAATCTACCTACCAAGATACATAGAAGAACTACATATACACACACACAAACATCCACCACTGTTTTCAGAAATAAGACAAACCTAAATAATTGGAAAAAATATTAATTTCTTATGGGTAAAATAAGTAACAGTACCATTTAAGTTAATTTACTTATTCAGTGCCAGATGTGGTGGCTCCACTGTCATTGATGGAGAAAATAGCTTTTTAGAGAAATCTGGGCAGACCTTTTCTATTTTCCACCTCTTTGTTTTCCTGTTTTCGGGCACTCTTAAAAGAATCTTGGGATGATATGGCTTAGTTGGGTCATTAGCATTAGCTAATGGCTTCATGGTCTTTGCTTTGTGTTTTTTAATACAGGATGAGTACAAACCAGAAAAGGCTTTGTCTGAAGATGACTTGAAGAATGCAGTGAGTGTGCATCACGCACTGGCATCCAAGGCCACAGACTATGAGAAGAAACCAAATGTGCTGAAACTCAAAACAGCCGACTGGAGGGTCTTGCTGTTTCAAGCCCAGTATGTATGGGACTTGGGCAGAGGGGCTGGGAAGGAGCATTTTTCAGTTTAAGAAGCCTGATTGCTATTAATCGTTGCATTCATATCCTACTTAATAATTCTCAAAGTGTTTTCACATGCATTTATCTCAAGTGACCTCCACAGCCATTTTTTGAGGATTCTAAGGAAATTTTTGTTAGCCTCACTTTACAGAGAGAGAAAGAATCTTGCCCAAGGTCCCTAAAAAAGCTGAAACTGGAATCCAGGTTTCTTGATACTCAGTCCCATGTTTCTTCTGCTGTAATATGCAGATTTATTCTGTCTGTACTCATACTTTATCTAGGGAAGGCGGAGTTCAAAAGCCGTAGTTATTTCTCTTCCTGTAGACTAATGCTTCTCTGACTTGGGGAAGTGGGAAAATAGGTTTTATGACTTAGGTGATTAAAGAAGAGAGCCCAGAGAAAGAGTTGGCAAAGCTCAATCCATCAGACAGCAAGCATTTATTAAGTTCTTAGTATTTGCCAGGTGCTGTGTTAAAGACAAAAATTAGTCTCTGCCCTCAAAGAGCTTGCATTCTAATGGAGGAGACATTATACATGTGTGAGGAGACATATGTATAAATACATAGAGTATATATACAACATGAATGCAAAGTAGTTTTGGGAGGAACTGTAGTAGCATCTGGAGGGATCAGGAAAAACTTCATGTAGAAGACAGTAATTGATCTGAGTCTTGAAGGAAAACTAGGGAAAGAATGTTCTGAAATGCAAGGCATCTGACTAGGAAGGAATATGGAAGAAAACCATTTGCAAGAGGTGGAGGCAAGTAGAAAGGGCATTCCAAGTATGGGACTCAGCACTGGGATGATGCAGATTTGGGAGATGATGGAGCATCATGAGTATGAAATAGTGAATCAGCCAAAATGGCTCCTTTGCTGAATGCATAGAGCAGAGTAATGTATAAGAATATGTGAGAGGTAGAAATAGGCTGAATCATGAGATTTAAATACCAATAGAGTTTATGTATGATCCTAGAACTAATAAGAAGCACTTGAGTTTATTAAGTGAGGCAGATGTGACATGGTCAGAGCTGGGCTTTAGGAAAATCATTTTATTGGCTCTGTAATGGATGGGTTGGAGTGAGGAAAGGCTTAAGGTAGAAAGAACCATTGCAGTAGACAAGAGGTCGTGAGGACCTAAAATATGGTAGTGGTTGTGTGAGTGGAGAAGAAAGGGATACATATGAGAAATGCTGTAGAGATAGAAATGACAAGATTTGGCAACTGATGAGAAGTGGTGGGGTGAGAGTGAGGAATTGAGTAATGACAGATTATGAGTAGGGGTGAATAGAAAGGTAATGGTTGTCTTAACAGTAATAGGGAAATTTAGAAGAGTAGTTGGTTTGGGGAAAAAGATAATTTGTATTGTTTTGAACACGTGGGGTTTAAGGTATCTTTGGGCTATCCATTGTTATGATGTCAAAGGGACAGCCAGTTCAAGATGCCTAATATATTGGCAGCTGTTTTGTGAGATTAGAGCTCAGCAAAGAGATTAAGTCTTGATATGTAGACCTGTGAGACCTCTGCATAGTGGAGCTGATGAGGCCCCAGGACAGAATCTAGGGTATACTCAAAATTAGTGGTCATGATACGGATGATGATCCAGCAAAGGAAACAGAAAGAATAGTCCAGTAGGCAGGGGGAGGAACAGAAAAGATCAATGTCACAAAAGCTCAGGGAGGACAGTATCTAGCACGAAAGGATGGCTAAGATTGTCACATGTTGCAGAGAGCTAAAAAAGGAGAAGGACTGAGAAGAGGGCATTAGTTAAAGCTAACAATGAAAGAATCGCTGTAAGAGAAGGAAGAGAAAATGTTTAGGTGGGGAAGTAGAGTCGATTCCTAATTATAGGGGGAGCCAAAGTCAGCCTGGAGGACTTCCATATGTAGCGGTGGTTGGCTCTACACGTAAGGGAGTGTAGATCAGCCTGTGAATTTTCTGTGCTTGAGAAGTAAGGATTTTTGGATTTTCAAAGAGGGAAGTGAGGTTTTAAAAAGGAATGAAGTCAACCAAAAATTTGTCAACTAAAGCAGTGTCAGATCATGAGAGGAGTGAGTGCCAGAGCATCGTTGTCTTGGGGCTTATGGAATTTGACTTAGCAAAGATTCAAGATTGCCAACTTTGGGGGAGAGGGTAATGTAAGGGTTATTGCTTTCCAGAGAATTTTTAGAATCTAAGAAACAGCAATTTGAATGCCCTAGAACAGAGTGGTTCATATCTTTTTTTTTTTTTGTATCATGGCCCTCTCTGGCAGTGAAGTCTGGGGATCCCTTCTCAAAATAATGTTTTTAAATGAATAAAATACTTAGTATTACAAAATAAACCAACTGTATTTAAATACAGTTATCAAAATGTTTTTTAAAGAAAACTTGCAGTGCTAGGCAAAGAACCCCAGTTATAGGGAAGGAAGTATTACCAAAAGATTTGAAATAGTGAAGGAGTGGAAGGAGTGAGAGGAAGGGATTTCTCTCTACAGCATTTTACTGAAATGAGATAAGCTAGACAACATTGAAAGACATCCATGGGCTAATAATGGTATCCTGAAGAGCAAGACCAATGTGAAAAACTTTTTTGTTTTAAACCACATGCTTAATCACCATTGAGAATGAAGCAGGAATTGGGGAACATCAATTTTAGAAACAACCTAAAATTTCTTCCATCCTTCACAGGAGCCCAGAGGAAATGGAAGCATGGATAAACATAATTAACTGTGTGGCAGCTGTGTTTTCAGCACCCCCATTTCCAGCAGCTATTGGCTCCCAGAAGAAGTTCAGCCGTCCACTTCTTCCAGCTACGACAACAAAATTGTCACAGGTAGATAAAAGTAAAAGTAACATTTCTTGGAGGAAATAAGAGTTGTCTTTTAGATGTTCTTCATGACTGAAAAATTCAAGTTCCCTGAGTATTCAGGATTTATCTCCTTTTCTACAATGAAACTAAAAAATAAAATGTTTTGTGTGCCTTGGAAGGAAAGTGCTAAGTTAGCCATCATTCAGTACAACTAGGTCTTGATTAATGATTAACGAATCCTAAGAAGTTGTCTTATATATTCAAATTTGTACTATTAGAAGATACAATGATGTAAATAAACTATGGTAATTGTTTCCAGGCCAATGGAGCTATACAGAGCAAATTCAAATAATGCTACCACTTCACAGGATTTGTTATTTACCTTAAATGGGACCTAGCTGTATTCCATTTCATTGATGTGGGTATTCTCTGTCCTACTGCAAATCACAGAACTTAATTAGCCAGTTTTATGAATGGCCATGGCCACAATTCATCACCTGGTAATCAGTGTTCTGATAATGAATGTCATTTCACTGAACTAGGTTGGCCATCAGGCAGAAGTCTATCACTATGTCTTTTACTACTTCTTGTTGGAGGTACAACCAGAGCTTGTGTTCCATTGGCCTAGCAATTGGTAACCCAAGGTCATCTCTACCCTGTGGAGTAGTGGATGATATTGTCATTAATATTTGTATTAGCAATACACTTTTTAAAATAGCAATAATAAAACTAGATAATGTGCTTTAGGAAACAGAAATAGACCCAAAAAATTACCATATTAGTAAGGCAAGATGGATGTCAGGTGGTATTATCTTCCATACACAGCAGTGATTTCCAACTTTATTGAATAGAAAGACCCATTTTTACATAAAAATATTTCCAAGAACGCTACTTGGTAACAATTGTACTGATAATATCGGTTCATTATCATTTAGTCCACAAGTATTTATTAAGCACCTTCTGTGTGTCAAGTACTCTGTTAGCAACAGGGATACAGGTTTAAAAAAATGAACCAATCCCTACTTAGAAGGAGCTTACATTCTAATATGGGAGACAAGTAAATACAAAAATATATAGCATGAATATAAAGTCAGGTTACCAAGCATTTATTAAGCACCTGCTGTGTGCCAGGCACTGTGCTAAGGCACCAGAGACATAAAGTCCCCTAAAATGAAATAAATACAAATATATGCAAAATAGTTAAATACAAGGTAGTTTGGGAAGGAGAGCATTAGTAATTGGGGGGACTAGGAAGAATATTAATACAATGGAGAATATCAAGAGGAAGCTAACCAGGCTATTGATCATATAGGATCCTAGATTTATAATTGGAAAGGACCACAGAAGATATCTTATCCAGCCCCCTCCAACAAAGAATCACAAATTAGAGCTGATAAGAGACCATGGAAGCCACATGGCATAATCCCCTCAATTTATAGATGAGCCAGCTGAAAAAAAAGAGAGATATAATGTACCAAGGTTATCCAGGTAGAAAATAAACAAAACTGAAATTTGAGCCTCAGATCTCAGGGTCTAGATCAAGGGCTAGGTACCAATTAATAGAAATAACTAATCCCCTGAAGTGATCACATTACTTGAATTAGCACTTGATATTTCCATTGGGCTGGAACCACTTGCCATATTTTATGTCATTATAACTTCAAATAGTACGATTTCAAATACATGGGACCAAGTCAGGGGGTTCATTATTCACCTTCATCAGGACCTAGCTACACACCACAACCTCATGATCATTACTTTATGATGATCAATTGAAAATCCTAGGAGTATTTATCTAGAAAGGACAAGACCTAAGAGTTCAAATCCGGCCTCTGACACTCACCAGCTGTGTGATCTTGGACAAGTTACTTAACCTCTGATTGCCTAGGAGGTAGTTAGATGGCTCAGTAGATAGAGCACTAGACTTGCACTCAGGAAAACCTGAGTTCAAATCCAGCCTCAGACACTTACTGGCTGTGTGACCCTACCTTAGCAAGTCATTTAACCTTCATTTTCCTTAATCCACCGGAGAAGGAAATGGCAAGCCACCCCATTGTCTTTACCAAGAAAACCACACGGCCGTGTGGTCCGTGGGGTCACGGAGAGTAGAACACAGCTGACCAACGGAACAACAACCAGGGGTATATTGGTTCTGTGATCATGTGTATTTGAAGACCTGTCCTACAGAAGAGGGCTTTGACTTTTTCCGATTTGTTCCAGAGCAAAAAAATGGGAGCAATGTGTGGAAGTTGCAGAGAGGAATGTGTCAGTGCATTTGAAGGGAAAATTTCCTAACAAACAGCATTTATTCAAAAAGACCCTGGGGTGCTGTAAAAGCCACTGGGTTCCCGCTCATTAGGAGGAGGCTGGATCAGCATTTGTTTGGTCACTTATCAGAGCTGTTGAACAGGCTATTCCTACTGCCTTTAATAGCCTTTCTGAGGTCCTGGTGATCTCTGCAATTCTGAAATCCGAAGTGCCTACTATGTGCAAAATAATCTCTGTGGGGAGATAGAAGGATAATTAAGCCAAGGATTATGGTGATAAGCCATGGTAATGGAAGATACTGAAACGTTTTCTAGTCATTAAAGAAAGATTGTATTATATTCAGTAGGGTTTTAGTGATACATGTATTTTATTGGTAGTCCCTTTATGGAAACTCTTATTTCCCGGTGAATCAGAATACCCCATGTAAGAGACTGAATTTTATGTATTTATTGGGGGGGGGGTGTGGGGGTGTGTATCTTAGCTCAGTTGTTTAGAGCGCTCTGTTCTGTTAATGAGTCAATACTATGTGTTCATACCAGTGGCCTTCCAGGGCAGCTGTCTCGCAGATATGTTTTTTGTCTCACTGGGGACTTGAAAAGATTTAGGTCATGGGATGGGGCTTATTTTGTGCTGTCCCTTCTATTTCAATGTCTTCGTTTCATAAGTTTCATATAAGGTCTTGTTAATAGGAGATGCTACAACCCTCCAGCTTCGTATTATCTCCCTCTCTCCCTCTCTCTCTGTCACACACACACACACACACACGCACGCACGCACGCACGCACGCACGCACACACACACACACACACACACACACACGGATTTCCATGCTATTAAAAAGGATAAAAATGAGCAGTTTCTCACCTGACCTGTATTCAGGCTATCCAAGAGTTAAGAGTAGGTTAAAATGGAGGTAGGGGAGTTGGTAAAGGGATGGATTGGTCAGTAGAGAATAATATAGAGTACACTTTGACTAACAAAGGACTGGGGAAGACTATTGTTGACTCCAGAAGAACATGTTATTCACCTCTTTGCTGAGTCATTTTGATTTTTCTGTGTGTATTTATATTCTCAGTCACCATTGTTCTTCCTTGTATTTTGCTTTTCTTTATAGGCAGTAAAGCACTGGTTATCTGGAATGGTTGGGTAATGGAGAATTCTGGTTAATTCAGTCTTAACGATGAAAATGATTATACTTTACCTGGTTTATAATTTTTATCTAATTAGATTATAAAAATCCAGTTGAAAGAAGCTGTACAATTTAATCTTTTATAATGTTGATAATTCAGAAGATAATTTTGGCATCTTAGGTCATTTTTATGGATATCAATATTCATCTCCAAATGTCGTTAATTGAAGTTTCTACTTGTTAGGAGTCTAGATGAACAGTATTTTATAGTATTTATTTAAAAAAAAAAATTTCTGGAATCAGGATTCAAAATGTTTTTGACAGGCTAGAAGATTAAGCCAAATCCAGTAAATTGAAGTCTTAATAATCCACCTCACAAATACAAACAGAGAAAGCATGTTGTTGTTATTCAGTTGCTTTTCAGTTGTGTCTGACTCTTCATGACCCCATTTGGAATTTTCTTGGTAAAGTGACTTGCCACTTCCTTCTCCGGCTCATTTTACAGATGAAAAAACCAAAACAAATGGGGTTAAGTGACTTGCCCAGGGTCATACAACTAGTAAGTGTCTGAGGCCAGATTTGAACTCACAAAGATGAGTCTTCCTGACTCCAGGCCTGGTACTCTATCCACTGAACCACCTAGCTGCCCCTCCTAGCAATCAGAGCTGTTGAAAAGCAGAATAGGCTGCTTCAATGAGTTACTGGGTACTCCTTCACTGGAGGTCTTCAAAATAAAATTGGATGACCCCTTGTCAGGTATGTTAATTGACTGAGATTACTGTTTTAGAGAGAATTCTTGTTCAGCCGTTGCATTGGTCTAATAACGTCTTTCCATCTCTGAGATTCCGTGATACATTCTTAAACTCTTCTGCAATTTCTTCTTGTTCTTCTTTTCTTTTGCCCTTATCTCTTTCATTCTCACAGATGGCATTTCTATTGCCTCCTACACGCCAACCCTTCATCTCTTCATCATCCATTAGTTGGTTTCCAAGACGGATCTTCTTAATTCTTTTCCTTGGCACCATAGTAGAATATGAAGGAACTGTATTTATTCCACATGCAGAAGAGAGGACTAGGAGAACTTAATGACATATGTGTGAGTTTGTATGACCTCCTTCTGCCAAAAAAGATGAAACCCTTTTATGCAATATGTGCATTAAAAAAGAAAAAAAAACCACAGCCATGTTGGGGTTGTGGCTAATTACTATTTGCAAAGCCTGGCACAGATTGTGACTTTTCCTTGATTCAAAGTGGTTCTGAAGTCTTTGTGTAAAAGAAATACCACACTTGTCTTTCATGTTATTTGTCATACACAGACATGTGTGGTTCACTTGCCACTTTTGTGCCCCTGCATTTCATAGCTAGGCTAGATTGGTTTAAATAATAGTCTCTGATATTAAGGGCAGTTGGTGGTGTAGTGGATAGTGTGTCACGCCTAGAGTCACCCCGAGTTCAAATCTGACCTCAGACACTAGCTGTGTGACCCTGGGCAAGTCACTTCACCCTGTTTGCCTCAGTTTGCTCATCTGTAAAATGAACTGGAGAAGAAAATGACAAACCACTCCAGTATCTTTGCCAAGTAAACCCCGAATGGAGTCCGGAAGAATCAGACATGATTGAACAACAA